GGTGAGTGAGTGAGTGCTTTTAGAAGGAATAACCTTTATTCAAAAGACTTTCATACTTTTTATTTTGTTTGATCTCTATAAATTTTATTTATTTATTATCTATATTTTAATTTATCTATATTTTTGTTCGATCTATATTTTTGTCAATTCTTATTTTAGTAAAGACAGAATTTAAAATTTCTTAAAATAATTTTAGCAAATTTTAATACTCAATCACTCTGGGAACCCACCTGTATCTCTATCCCTAAGAGACTCTATGGTGAAAGGGTTTTGATGCGCCGTTCGCGTCTTCCAACGCGCATAATACTTCTGAGTAAGTGGTACTTGCGATAAATATACGATCCTGGGATAATAATAATAAGAAAATTCCAAGCACATAGAATTTGCTCGCAAACCGAGATAAATCAACTTAAAATCCGTCAAGTGAGGCGAGGACCTATCCGCTTTTATAAACGCTGTGACATGCTGGCTATTTAGCTGCTTAGTTAAAACGCCTTATGGATATGTCTGCTCTCGAGTAAAACTGGTTCCGAGAAGATATCGGCTATATCACCGTGGTGCCTCGGATAAATCGGAATGAAATAGCGTAGTGATTATCATGTCTGAAAGCCTAGATCCACTCTTATTAAGTGAAAGCTAGTAAATAGCCATATGGCCTACGCACTTTTCAAAGGAAAATTATGCAATATTTCGGTCATTAGTGTATATACTCCAACTTTATGCGCAGATGACCGTAATAAAGATAAATTCTATGCAGAGAAGTTCAACTGTTAACAACATCTATACAGAGATATATTCATAATCTGGGGAGAGTGGAATGCGCGCGTAAGTCATGATGCCGTTACGATGAATTCGGTAATTGGCAAATATGGCATTGGGATCTAGTGTGCGAATGGAAAACGCCTTCGCTTTGCCAAAATATGAGCTCTTTGTTACTATACTTTCGACATCTAGTCACATAGTCCGGATAAATAATATTCCATTCACATTGATTTGACTATATAGGTCAATTGTTGCTGGAAGAGTTCAATTCTTGACAGTCGTTCTTATAGGGGCGCTGAAACTGGTAATCGCCATGGATTAAACCATGCTAGTTTGAGCCAAGATTCGTATAAAAGTAACAAGTCGTAAGAAATCCCAAGATATCCCAAGATCTTTTAATTATTTCGAATTAAAAGATCTGGGATCAGTAAGCGTATTTCAAACCTTATTTTTAAAACACCTCAATGAAACGAACGTCAATGACATCTTTGGAAAGGCGAATGAATACTAGTCTCAACTGAAGACATGCTTACAAAAGTCAGCCACTTCCACATTAGGATATACTAGTAAGAAGTATGCTAGTTTAGTATTGAAAGCAACTGTCTAACTGTTTGAAAAAACTGCCAAAGCCCGAATATCAGGAGATTTTGATTACCGGATGATTCGATGAATTACAACGACAGTAGCATGGCGAGAAAGAAATCGCTATTGGAGCGATATGGCCCTGAGAATGGAGACGACGGTTCTGATAGGTGATAATAGGATACTTGTTTCTTGCCTTCTTCAAGCATTTATAACTCGAGAAAGGGTCAGTAAAATAATAGGGGACAGTAATTAAGTGCTTACCTATTAAAGCTTTCTCGTCTCAGAAGATGGAAAGAATTTTTTTGAGGCCAAACTTAACCATAATGCGCCATCTGTTATCCCGGATATAACTGATTCGCCCTTACCTTACATTTGCAACTGTTAACTGCGAACAGAAGAGGAAATAATTCTGTAATCCATAAACTTATTCATATCCATAAGACCAATAAAACCCTTAGAGATGGTCTTCGGACGAAACTCTTCAAATGTTGTCCATCATCGTTCATAATTCACCTTCAACAAATATATTCTCTGGTATGGCAAAAGGAAATAGTACCAGAAGACTGGAGCAATTCTGCTTGCAATTCCCAAGAAAAGTGACAGGACGTGCTGCGACAATTATTAAGGAATCTAGACATCTCGGGAAAAATTTTTGTTTTCCCGGTAACATGAGATAGCAGAATGTGTCTCAACCAAGCTCTATTCAGACTTGCCGGTATGCTTACCAGATATTGACACTTAGAAAAGTGTTGGAAGATCAGTTCAAAATTTTCAACCGTTGCGTATTCCATCGACTTTGCGGCTGCCTTCGATTCGATTAATAGAGCAGCGCTTTGGGAATTAATGGAAAATGACGGTGCTCCCAGAGAAGATCATTCGGCTCATAAAGGCATACCCTGGCACAGGTGTGTATATATGTATATATAACTGATAGATGTCGGCACTCAAGAGCTGTCAGTCCAGGCCTTACGCTGATGATGTAGTTGTAATGAAATGCAAATAGTGTTAAATAATATGCCAACATCTGCAGCGAGAATTGGACTCAAAATCAATGTAAATAATAAAACGAAAATGTTTTTGTCTTACATACAAGATGCTGATAAAATACCTATTTTTATCAAATACCTATTTTTATTCATTGCCAGTTGAGGAAGTGCCAGACTTTAAATATTTTGGATCCACTCTAATCCCAAATGGCCAAGCAAATGATAAAAATGAAATTGCAACTTGGATAACGACACCTAGAAATTTGTTTTTCCGGCTGATGAAATCTTTATAGAACCGTCAGAAATCACCATAAAGTCGAAAATCTGAGTCCATATAGCTGCAAATCTTTCGATCTTGCTATATGGATGGACACGGCCAATGAAAGTGGAAGATACTAAGAAGCCATCAGCTTATGATAATTCATGTCTAATACATATATATATATATATATATAACAAATTTTTCGAGCGAATAAAATCGCACATGATTGTATCCATCTTCACTCATAAGCCACCTGTATTAATAATGTTATCGCAGAGCGTCGCATTAACTGGTTAGGGCACGTTCTTCATCTACTAAAGGAGTTGACGCATATTTCGCTGCTTGCCGAACTTTATGATGGTTGGCATCAAAAGCGAGGGGGACCAGCGATATATGGACTTAGACGATGAAAAAAGGAATGGCTTCTATTACCACTAGTGATGGCGTCGAACCGAGTAGCTTGGAGACGTCTTACTCTTGTAGCCAACGGACCCAGCCTAATCAGTAATGGTGAGAGCTATTAGAAGATGAAGAACGCACAATCACCCAGGGGAGTTATTTTCTTTAGACAAAAAAGTCTGTTATAAGTGATTAGCGCTCATCATTTTCGGCCAGGCTGGCTTTGCTAGTTATAGTAAGATTAAAAAAAATTTTACCAGGAGAATCATTTGGCAGTGGAAACACAGGTGGATCAGTCAACAGATTTATTCGAGAGAAAGAACCAATGCTTCGACTCAAAATGATAACCTGAATATGACATTTTAAATGAATTTTCAAAATTAAAAATTAGAATGTAAATTAGAATGAACCGTTTGGAATCGAATTGTAATTATGATAGCAAATCGAAGTAAAATTTAAGCGAACTGATTTTTTTTTTCTAATCAAGAAAAATAACACAAAAATAACACAGTCACGATTTTCTTAAGGTTCTTTTATTTAACAAATAAAACTTTGAAAATTGCAGCACTAGAGGAATGGAAAAGAGAAAGGAAGAAGACTTAGGTTTGTCTTGCAAAGAAACTTATTTGGCTTCATATATATTTTTTATCATCGGTAGGCATATACACTAATATACAATGAAACGAATTACCGGTGAAAAACAGCAAACATCGATGGGTATTAAGAAAATTTTGTTAGTTAATGACAAAATTTCTTGTTAAAATTGATTGAGTTGATAAACTTAACAATTCGATATTTTCAAAGGCATTATAATAAGAAAAAAGATTTTAAAACCTCAAAATTATTCAAGAAATGGTAAAGGAGTTCAACAAAAAAGTCTGCTAAAGTGATTCAATACAACAAGAATTGGCTAAAAAGTGAGAAATGTCAACAAAAGTAAATTAAATCATCGAAAAATTGAATTATTTTTTTGAAATAAAAATGATTAATATTAATTGATTAGGAATTTGTCATTTGCTTCAATCGAAATCTCTTAATGATTGCCAATCTTTTTTTTTTTAAATTAAATTTGCAATATAGTTTAGAAAATACGGCATTTGGTTCGAACTATAAGAATAATAAGGATTGTTAGTTTTACCATAAAAACTCGATGCCATAATTTATTTATAACTCAGTATAAGCAGAGTTTATTGCTTATCATTCCGCTAACCTCTATGCAAAGATTTGAAGTCAAATTCTTATCAATGCACCAGTCGCTACTTCGATATTTTCAGTTTTATGAATGATGCATGGAATTTACTAATTGCATAAAATTAACTAATTTAATCATGCAATGCCCTTTTTTAGATTCAGCAAGGGAAAACCTTTCATATACACATATGAAACTGAATCGCAATTTGGCACATTTAACTAGTCAGTTGTTTTGTATATACACATGCTCTTCCAAAAGTTATTGGCATTTTTTTAGCGAATTTAGTGATTACACATTTTTCTGAATCTAATCTATGGTTAGTCGCGTATTTAAACGAATTCATCCCCATTCTTGAATTCTATCAATTTTTCCTTATTGAGTAAATTATTTGAGAAATTTTTTGCTCGAACTTGTAGCATTGCATTTTTATCTCGTTTCGAACGTCCCAAACTTGTTTTACTTGTTCTCGTTGACGATACAAATGTTCTCCATTGCAAACTGCAAATAAATTTTAAATTTAAAATAAAATATTCTACAGCGCTACTCTTTTTCTTCACCTTTGCTATTTAAACCTATAATGATATTACGCTATATCACCCTAAAATTTGTTTAAGAAATCATATTTATTCTATGGACTAAATAGTAAATAAGAGAAATGTAGATATCTTAATTTTCTTTATAGTTCAAATTTTCTAATAACTTTTTTTTCAATAATCCTCTTCCATAGAACCATAGAACGTGTTCTTTGAAGACATGAAGTCTGAGTTTCCTAATAGCTTCGATGAATCCAATGAAAAATTTGTCTAAAATTTGTCTACTCTCTCAAACAGAATTTATTAAACGCCTGATTTATAAGAAAATTATGTGATAAATGAATCTTATACCACTTCGATGGCAATAAGGAGTAGAGAGTGTTACGATATTTGCTGCATGTGCAGAAGTAAACGGTAAATCCAACATAACAGTTTATCAGTGATAAAAGATCGAGGACATCAGCCAGTGTCAGATATATGAATAGATGAAATTGAGATGTAAAAATTGCTGAAATATGCAAATCGATAAACGGTTAAGAACACAACTGTTGAAGAATGCTTCAACCGGGACCAAGTAGCACTGGAATATACAATAAAACCCCAAAGCAAAAAATGAGAAGACCCACGCATATCCTCCGCTAACTTTCTGACAGAAAGGTCTTCACTAGTATTCAATGGAGCTAGCCAAACAACAAATGGTGCAAGTTGTTAAATTAAAGGAGGAGTAAAATGTGAAGTGTTGTACAAATCTATAAATATTTTTCACTAAAACATGATTGTATTTGGTTGTATTTATTTATTTTTTGTGGAAACAATCGGAACAAAATGTTCATAAAACTTTTTTATTAGGCAAATAAATAAAAATGGTATGAAAGAATGGACAATTTTCGGAATGACCAGCTCGTTTTGCCGGATGAAGAATAAAATTCATGTAAATGTTAAAAGCGGAATATACCATTTAGGATGGCGATGACTCCTTGAGGTAATTCAGTTGCGAGAAAAACACTGACCATTAGAAGTAACATATAAGTAGTACGATCTGTTGGTCCATTTTCTTTACCTTTTTCATTTTTCATTCCTAAGAGCCTTGCACGTTTTCTCTTATTTTGTTGCAGTTTTAAGAGCAAAAGAATTGTTAAACCAGAAAGCAATACACAAGGAACAACCTAAAATGGTAATATAATAACTATATATTCCAGAAGAGATTATGTTGTAGTGGAAACTTTTCTAAGCCTTTTTTTTCGACAGTATGATTTTGTCAATATGATTTAGATTTATAAATACGCTATCTCCACTATCCTTAATTTATAGGATTATCGCTATTAAAGAGGCCAGTTTTTTACGCCGGTTTTGCATGCCCATAAAATCGTGCTAATCGTCCCACAAAGGGAGATATGCAAGTAAACTTGCCAAAAATCGTATAAATGAAAAAAATTTTTAAAAGTTAAAGGTTTCACTGATCTTTTAACACATAATAGCCAACTGCCATAGCCAAGTTCATTTTAAAATGAAAGCTCCACTTACCTTCAAAACTATTCCTGTTAGCCAAAGATTAATTTTGAGCAGCGCACAGTTGTTTTGAAGGACCATTCCAGAAAATCCTATAATATATTTTTTAGCTGTTTCTGGTCGATCAGTTCTCGAAAGCTTATTTTTCCAATCCAACGAATTATTGTCACTTTGTTCATGGATTTCGTGCGCCAAAAAAGTAGGTATGCATAATACGAAAATAAAAAAAAAAATACAAGCCGCAGCTGTTCTGAAATAGATGAGCATCGATCAAGAATGGAATGAATAATTTTAGAATTATATCTTCTATATAGCTGGATATGCGATGAATAAAAATTAAGAATGAATAATGCAAGAGAGCTGACCTAGCTAGGCCAGTCTTAAGCCAACGGCTGCTTCTTGCTTGTATTGAACGTACTCGTATAAAGGCCATTAACACAACCAGATAAAGAGAAATTGCGTGCAAAGCGATGCTCACAACCACGTGAGCCATAAGAAACATAACCCAAATATAAGGGTAACCATTATCAGGTATTCTATTAAATTCGTATCTCAATAGATACAACTGAAATAAGCATTCTTAAATTTTAATCTTTTGCTTGATCCATTATGAAAATCCCCTAAAATGGATTTTTATAATGGATCAAACTAAACGTATAAGTCTATTCAATAGTTATTATTAACCTCACCGATTTGATTTGCACCTGCAACAATTGGTAATATTTGATCAAAATGGTGAAAAAATAATTTAATTGGTGTAATTTAATTAATTAGTTATATAATTCTACAAATCCTATGATTCTTGATCTTGGCACATCTAAGATTACAGATTACAAAGTATTGCAAGGCAATTTACAGTTTATAAATATGATAATAATTTTAATGGCAGAAAGATAATTTTTTTTTCGTAGTCAATACTAATATTTAATACTAATATTTAAATACTAATATTAATACTAATATTTTCGTGATTGGCATGCAAATTCAATCACTTGAAGCCATTTCATATATATTTACAGTATAGTCCACTTGGTTCATAGCGCTAAATTAAGGATTTTGGTCAATGATGAACCTTTCGTTTTAAAGTGGCTACCATTACAATAGCATTCAGAAATTGCAGTTGGACTTGAGAAAGAATTTGATGATAGCGCATTCGTTCATATTATTTGGAAACATAAATTCTACAATACAGTAAATTAATGCAATCCAACTAAATTGTTCCATTCATAATAGAATCTAAAACTAATTAATTTGATTGTCTTATTCCTTGCTCCTTTATTTCTTTAATATGTTCTCTCAAATATTCCTCAAAATTTTTTGAACAGAAGGCATTTAGAAAGTTGGAACCGCAAATTTTGCAAAATCATAATTATTATAGTGATTTCCTTAGCGTTCACGGATTTCGATTTATGAATAAAGCTGAATAATGAATCTGGCTGGATTCTATATTTTTGATAGAATGCCTTTAGCTGACTAATAAAATAAAAGCTTGTTCGCATGAATATCTTTTTCTTTTCTTTTTCCTGTGAATAAGAAGGAAAAGGAGGGAATAAAGACAAAGAAAGAAATAATAGTGGAAGAAGCGACAGGCTAGAGGAAAAAATGATCCAGTGGATAGAATAAGAAACTTTTAATGTTGTGAAGTAGGCTTAGATAGGCTTGGATTTAAAGTCTAGATTTTAATTTATTTTGAGGATTTTGAAATCAGAAAAAAATCGAAGAAAATTAAAAAACCTCTAATTGTTCTCGTGAAAAAAATAATGGAATTTCTTGTTGTATAAGTTTATAAAAATCAAGGAAACAATAAAACTTGCTTATAAAAAGTAAGCATTCTCGTAAACAAGAACGATCAAAAGTTAATCATTCGAACTATTATTTTATAGAAAGGTGTGGCGGAATGGCGAAAAAAGCTACAAATATAAGCATGTCATGCGCATCCCACCTGCTATGCCCAGCAAAAGAATTGATGAAATAAGGGAGAAAAGAGCTGGAGAAGGTATTAGAAAATATCCCATAATAATAGTAGAGTACCTCATAAGTGAGAGATATAATGCTGCCCTTATTATGAGAAGATTAAAAACCATAAATCTTCCTGCCTATCTCAAATTAAATATGAGTTCCAAGATCGTTTTTGGGCATTTTAAGTTTCAATTAGGGAAAGGAGTGGGAACGACGAATGAACTGGGCATTTATACTTCTTATGTTGGTTTTTCTATTATTTTCTTCGTAGTAGGACAATAGTTTCGTTTTGCTTTCTTGTATATATTTGCTTCGTCACTAATAATGGTTTAATTACCCAAGTTTGAGGGCTCGCAACGAGATAATTAAGAAGAGAACGCTGGCCGAAGAGTTTATAATATCGTTGAGAAATAAAAGTCCCCGTAGCAGGAAACTTACTAAATCTATACAGAAAAAACAATGGAGCAGATTCCAGAAGGAATTTTGTAAAGGTAAATATTGGAAGAGGAATCGCCATGCTCCCAACGAAAATTCGTAGTGCTAAGTGCTTTTCTATACAGAAAGGCATTGCAAGGTCGTGTAATTCGATTGGCAAACATATGCCTTCGAAAAGAAACTTTTTCCAACAGTGAAATTATGTAAAAATGGGTAGTTGTTTTCCAGTTTTCTAATAATGGTTCAGAATAAAAAAATATTGGGCAATATGGCTGATATCTATTAAGATTCGTTTTTTCCGCATTTCCTGTTTTCTTTTATTGGCTAATGTTGTGTTCTAAAATAAAGTGCAAATGCAACTATTTTTCCAATATCTTAGTTAATAATCCGAGTTTTTTTTACGAATTTTTGATGGGCTCGAAATTCACAACAGAAAATTTGTGTGAAATATCGCAATAAATATCCAATATGCAAATATCTCACCATCTATAATGGGCAGCATTTTGCTAAGATTGCAAAAGTTTATTACTATACTTATTAAACACATAATTGTATAGTCAATTTATCAATGATTTTGAAATTGCCATTGAAAAAAGTAACTGATTTGTATATGCATGGGCATCAAATTATTGAATTTACTAAATTTACCATTTATTGTTGTAATATAGAATTTGAACAAACCATTACTTTGTGAAATGGGGCTAATTTTTATTATTTTATTATAAACGAAAATATCTAGGAACTTTTTCTGATGAAATAATAAATAAAGGAATGTATAAGTCTTGTCTATAAGTTTATTTATAGAACTGAGAAATTTATAGAACTAATTTTTTTGAAGCAGTATAATCTCAAACGCTTAGCATTTGTTATTACCAATTACTGCTTGCTGTTTACTTTAAAATTTATATAATTAATTCCAATAAAACGATATCGTCTTGCAATAAAAAATTTAGACCGATACTAAAATTAGCAAATTCTACTATCTCCAATGAACTTCTAAAACTTCTGAAAACTTCGTTCATCCACATATGCCGAAGGTAATACGCATTCTTACCTATATTTCTAGAATTTTCAAACAGATACAACAGATCTGAAAGCATACAACTCAGTTTTTTTTCCTAATTTGTTCAGAAAGATATGAAATGAAATTTTTTTTGTGCACTTAGTGATTAGACTTTTCAAACTATTGATGCTAAATTTTAATAAATAAACTTGAATAACTTTATATTTTATAAATTCTCACCGTATATGAACTCATTGTTCCAATATCCGCTAGTGCTATGCAAATAAGTACAGTATGTACAGAAGAAACAATCATTCGAGGCCTTGTTAACACCCATATGTGAATAGAATTGGCTATAAAACCAAATATACACAAGCAAAAACTAATATAAGGATGGAATAAACCATACAATCTGCAAAATACAGAAAATAATTCTCAAGATTTTTCCAATCAAAAATTTTTTTCAGTGTGAAGTTTCCATGAAATTGTTTCACATATCCCAATATATCCATATATTTCTGTCCACAATGGTCTCATTAAAAGTGCTATTAACAGAAAATAATCCAAATTGATTTTGTTAACTTCAACTCTTTAAAAATTATCTTTTTCACAGTTTGAAATGTACATTCACAGTACAGTAAAAAAAAGTGCAGGGTACAATAAAAAAAGAGTTGTTTCCACCATTTGTTTGGCTATGCTTACTTGTTGTTAGAACGATTGGAAATTTTTGCCAGGACACTACTTAGAGGTTTAGATGGATTCAAGTACCATGTCAAGCATCTAAAAATTCAAACTAGTTTTTTGTTTAAAAAAATAGTTTAAAACAAGAGAAATTTTAGTTAAACGAAGTTGCGGAAGGAAAACTTACGATCTAAATTTTGTTAATCCAGTCAATACGAAGATTATCGTAGTATCGTTATCATCGAAGAGTTTTGGATCTTCAGGACAATTCATACCTTAAATTTAATTTGAACAAATCCAAGGAAATTAAGATATAAAATAAAACAGTAACGTAAATTACTATAAGCTTATTTGCAATGGAGAAAAAATCCATTCGACAAAAAAGAGATATTCCTTCGATGGATTTTTATGCTTCAGTTGGTCGTTAAACCCAATTTCTATGAAAAAGATTGAAACAATACATCTGCGCTTTGATTATACAAGCACCAGATTTTTCGATTTTTCTTTCTAAAAATGAACTTTATTTGCCTTTATTTCGGCTTCTTAATGCTCAAGGCAAAAAGGCCTAATAAGACTATAAGTTAGAGGAAGAAAAAAGAGACGCATTATCGATCAACAAATATCCGGGCCAGATGAAACCTGAACAAAATTCTACTAATGTATAAGAAAATAGAAATAATATCAATGAAAATATCGAGAGGGGATCATTCATACAAAGGTAAACCCTCAAAGAAAATCCATGATGACCTTAATTAATTATATTAGCAAGAAAAAAGAGAGATTGAAACACTAAGAAGAAAAGTTTAAACTGCAATTAAGAATTAAAAAACCTCAAATGCTTTATTACTTATATTTGTAGGGAATATTTAAATTGAATCAAAGCCGTCAAATTCACTGAAAAGATCGCATTTGGTTGTTCAATACAAGCGATTTATAAAATTTATGCTTTCTAAAATTTAATAAGATTTAAGAAAATTTTCTTTTCATATTGAAACATCAACTTAGAATTTTTTTAGATATCAATTAGTAAATTTCAACAAATTTAAAAAGTTCGAAATTTCTTATAAAGATTGAGTCTTCGTATTGATTGGATTACGATCCATTCAACTTCAATTTCATTTTAGTATATTTTTTTATTTATTATATTTATATTTTAGTATTTATTTTTTAAATTATATTTTCAGCTTTATAACGAGAAAATTTTAAATTTTCCTAGAATTCATATCGAATAAATGTAAAAAAGGTTTTCATTTTTGATTACATATATTTCAATTCATTATGTTCATTTCGATAAATATACTATAATATTAAAATTGGAGCAATATAAAAAATTTGCAAGGTGACAAAGATTGCAGTATGAAGTGCTCCAAATTTTTGAATGTTAAAAAATTTGTATAATCTAAATCCTTTTTTGGCTTGGAACGTTCAACTCTTTTTACCGAATGCATTCATTGGTAGTCATCAGCTGCAATCCAGTTTACTCGAATTTCTAATTTGTTTTACAAGAAAAAATTTGTATAACATTACATAATGTATGTTGTTCTACTCCAATAAATCTATATGAATTATACGAAATACGAAAATTATACGAAATAAATATGTGAAATACGAAATACTAATGTCTTGAAATATTTCGCAAAATAAAGTTGAACTTTTTGTCTCGAATTTATCTGGCTTATTTCCTCTTAGCCATATTTTCTTAATAAAAAATCTAAGAACCATTACTAAAACTTTATAAGTAAGTAAAAGGGTTTAAAAGATATAAGAAAAAGATGGTGGATTCCCTTGTATAACTATAATTAATGAATATTTCAAATAATGTTAAATAATGTATCAACAATTGCAGTGAGAATTGGACTCAAAATGAAAATAAATAAAACGAAAGTGTTTTCGCCTCATATGCAAGATGCTGATAAAATACCTATTTTTATCAGTTCATTGCCAGTTGAGGAAGTGCCAGACTTTAAATATTTTGGATCCACTCTAATCCCAAATGGCCAAGCAAATGATAAAAATGAAATTGCAACTTGGATAACGACACCTAGAAATTTGTTTTTCCGGTTGATGAAATCTTTATAGAACCGTCAGAAATCACCATAAAGTCGAAAATCTGAGTCCATATAGCTGCAAATCTTTCGATCTTGCTATATGGCCAATACTGATACTGTCAGAAAAGATTTTGAACGTATAGGGGGATCAGCGATATATGGACTTAGACGATGAAAAAAAGAATAGCTTCTATTATTATTAGCGATGGCGGCGGATCGAGCAGCTTGGAGACGCCTTACCCTTGTAGTCAACGGAACCAGCTGAACCAGTAAGGGTGACAGCTGTTAGAAGAAGAAACTACTTGAAAAATATTACTATACGTGGATTATCTGGAATAGTTGAATTTCTCTCTCTCTTTTACGGCAACATTCCCTTTTAATTATAAGACTCGAACTCATGATGCTTGTCAATTCAAATAATACACCATTTGATCCCATCTTAGGCAAATTATGATGAAATTATAAAAATTCATAGGAAAAACTACCGTGTATCTTCTATATCGAATTTTCACTGAACGTAGAAGAAATAAATAAAATTAATTAAGGTTATTTGTTGGGTTTAGTGAATAGATATTACATTAACAGATTGCAGTCGATTTCATAATGACATAGACAACTTTCGCTTCAATAAAGTTTATTCTAATTATTTATTTAATTAAAATATATGCAATAAATTGGGTTAAATTGGGTTTGAACGACTCAATCATATAAAATTTTAATAAATTCGACGAATATTGGTCGAAAAAAGAAAGAAAGAAGCATCAAGCTAAAAAAACAGTTGTGACGAACTATAAGAAAAAATTATTAAAATATAATAAAATATAATAAAAATTAAAATATAATAAAAATTTTAAAAAAGCACAAATTTTCCCTCTAAATGTAGGAGGGCAAAAAATCGTCCGATTTCTTTGTCATAAAAAATACCTTCGAGGAAAATGAAACGCCTCAAATATGCGATGCAAGAAATGAAAATTTACGCAAGAATTAATTCATGACGCCAGGTGGAAATTTGCATATTAAGTCAATTTTCAATAATAGGAAGTGAGATAACAAAAATTGTGAACTATGAAGATTGATTTACTTTACTCACCTACTTCGAAAATTAACAAAATTAAGAATAAAACGATTATTGATGTATAATAAATTTTTTTTTAAAGAGTCCTCACCTTTACTCGTTAAACTCGCTTCACTGGCTCATCGCAATTGGGCAGTATGCCAGGGAGTCCTTTGGCGATAGAAATACAGGTGAGTCACCAGCATCACCCGGATGTATAATAAATAAGGAATATTTTTTTACTATGAACTAGGCAGAGAAAAGACATATAGCTAATAGGTGGCCAGCAATGGACTTTCATGCAAGGCTGTTTTAGCGCTCTCAACTGAAAACACTGAGTCCTGCTTCTTGCTCTCCCTTTTCAGCGACATTGTCGAAGCGTGGTGCCCGCAGGATTCGATCGCAAACCATCCTTGATTCTTGGTGCCAATCATCCTGCCACTAAGCCACTGACGAGCCGTGCATTGGTATAAAATGAAATGAAAATAAAGAGATGATTCTTTTTTCAGAAAAAAATGGCAAGAAATACACTTTTAATAATGTTTTCACTTGATTATTGATGATCTTTAATAATTTTCCCTTTTTTTATCTTAAACATAAAACCACAGTTGACTGCTCCAGTTACTAATTAATTATAAATATGAATTCTGCATAACACAAATGAAAGCCGTCGCTCTCGATAATTGTTTTTAGAAAACACTGTTGAAACATTTGGAAAGAGTTATCGAAATAAAACTGCAAACTCCAGATAATTCCAAGGTTTTAGACCAATTTTGGGATGCCAACATAATATTATAACATTATATTAACATATATTCCAACATTATAATCATTTTTGAAGGCATTAAGCTAGAAGAGTAAAATTACTTGTTGTTCTTTGATATTAGTTCTTTTGATTAAAAAATTGCAGTCAAAAATCATAAAAATAAAAGATGGAAGTAAAGCTGGATTAAATGAATAATTTGTGACAAAAATCCAGTAAATAAGAACAACAAAGCATTCTATCTGTAAAACATATCAAACATTAAATAATATCTTAAATAACAGCCACTTACATAAATATTTTTATTTTGCTCATCAACAATAAAAAGAAAAAATATTGTGATTTTTGTTCAGAAATGCAAAAAAATTGAATAGCAGTAATAATTAGTTGCTGAAATATTTAGGTGTCTTCTCTGATGATCTGCAATGTCTATTTCGCTATGTATAAGTCAGCCATTCATTTCCACTCATTGCAGCAAACAAAGCAGTTATAGGGTTAATCGTCATATTCATCTTCGTGTTATTCTCCGTGTATATAGAAAATGAATAGAAAATGAAAAAACTGAATACAAAAATTGTAGATAAATTGGATCTACGAATTTTCTTCCTTATCTTTCTTTAAAAAGCTCGTATCTTTGCCGGTTTGCTTGGATCCAATTTAAAACGACTAGGAAAAACGTCTTACGAATGTAGTTTCTCAAAATATTCCTAATATTTTATTACATTTATTTGTTTACAATATTTATTTGTATTACATCTAAATTTTTTTAGTTTAAACGGAAAAATTTTTCGGCGGAAAAATAACTTGTCTAAATGCCAATTACATCATACAAAATATGGAGAATATCAGAGAATTAAGTTTAATGAACTCTAATTATATGAATGATCGAATTAAAATCATTTTAAAGGTTAAAGTTTGTTAAATTGTCGTGTTAACTTCAATCTAGAAAAAATATTTCTCTTAATCTGGTAAATCTGAAAATTAATCGGTAATGCTTGCATAATGTATGCTATCGTCTTCATCTACATGGATATTACCTCTCTCTAATAAAATGATTTTGATAAGATCCAGTTTTTTGATGAATCAAAGCCGGAAGTGCCACAATTCTCTTCATTCACAATAGGCGAATGCCTTAAAAAAGTAATGGCGTATTTTGCGGGTTTATTACATATAATTTAGTCTAAAACGTTCAAGTTAGAAAAAAATTTTTAGTATTGTTAATTCGTTCACATCGATCACATAACCATTTAGAGGCCTTTTATATAAAAAATTTAAACGTTGGATAGAGAAAAAAAGCGAATCTGAAAAGACATTAGTTGAGAAATGAATTCCTCATAAAATCGCAATTATTTGCTAAAAAAAATTCATTTATATCTTGCATATAATGCGAGTAAAGAAATTTTTGCGAGTGAGGTTCGACTCTAAAAAATAAAATTTTGAAAATAAATTTAAATTTAAATAAACTTTATTAAAAAATAAATTACCCATTATTTTGCATTGAATTTCTTTTTCTTCCAACAATCTCAAAACTTCCGGTTTCACTAGTTCCATTTAAGATTAGGCTTCTTCATTAGAATCACTTATGGATAGAAGTAGAAAGGGATCATCCGGGTTTCACTTAAAACAATGGGCACTCAAAAGAAGGAGTTAAAGATTGCTTCAGTTGCCTTGTCTTAATTTTTTGTAAATATTTTGGGTTAAAGACCAAAGAAAAATAAAAATTTTTGCAATATAAGCGCATCTATAAAAAAACAAATATTGAACGCGATTAATTATTAATATCAAGCAAAAGTGCATATTATCATGAGCGGCTATGTCAGTCTCTCTCAATAATTCATTATTTTTATTATATTGTATTGTGCTTCACTAAAAGAATAGAAGGAATACATTATTCTTATTGCATTTATCTAAAAGATGTTCTTTTCAAAACTATAATTTTCTCATCGTTTTATACTGGGCATTTGTAAGGTGAAAGGAAATTTCAAATGGCATCGAAAAGAAGCAACTAATCGGGTCGTTTCCAATAATGATGCCAGTTGCTTAAATAAAACTGTCGAGGTTCTGAGATTACAACTATCTTCCATTAGTGAGAAATATGAAAAGCAACAAGATTTAATTCTTAACCAGATCTATTGAAATACTTATAAAGGTCAACGAAAAACTTAAGAATGATATCAATAATTGAAAGCCTCGTCTTTGGATGCAACTTTGAGCCTCCAAAAATCTCAACTGAACAATTATTGCAAACTATTGATGAATATTTTGAAAAAAAAGAAAAAGAACCAAGTCTAGTTGGCATAAATATTCCGGATAAATCTACGGATGATGAGACTACTACTGCCGACAGGCTGTTAGCAAAGAATATTGTAGCTGCTGCTGGGATCCAGGCTGACTACATTGAGGAAATTCATCGACATGGAAGGAAGGGATCAAGCAGGCCACGAGTACTTAAGATTCGACTTGAAGATAAGTACATGGCTATGTCTATTTTACGTAATAAGAACTTGCGCCCGATTGTTCCCCATGGAAGCTTTTTGAGGAAGGATCTGACGAAAAGAGAACTATTACTAGACAAATAGTTGCGAAAAGAATTTTATATACGAAATCAGAATCTCAATCTGAAGAAGTATGTTGTCAGAAATCTTCAAATAGTGGAACTAAGGCAGCCTCGCCAATGCTTTACAATGGCGAACAATTTTTCGATTCCAGTTTTCTCCCATCAATCCTACTACATCTTAAGACAACTTCCCAAGTAAGGTTAATAAAATGGGAAGTAATTTATCTTTATATATATTTAATACAAGAAGTTTAAAATATAAACTTACAACTCTTAATAATTGATAACCCAAACATTTTTCTGTATCAATATTCTGTATCAATTCTGTATTTTCTGTATCAATGAAAGGTGGTTGGATGACTCTATTGATAATCGCGAACTAACGGCTGTTGTTTAAAAAGTAGCAATAAATTTGAAGAGGACTTTCTAAACTTTTGTACCTATGTTGGTCTAGAGCAACATGTTAAGGTCTCCACTAGGTACAATACTATATTAGATGTTGTGTTAGCTACCCCTACCTCTCTTGTTGATAGTATTAGAGTCTTGGAACCTTTTTGTAATAGTGATCTGTGATCAATATCATTCATGCTTCATTAAAATTAGACCGTTATTCACCTCCCTCGAGATTTTCTAGAAGTTACCGTCACTGTAATTATGAAATCTTTACTCTATCTTCGCAGAAATAAACTGGGATTTCTTATTCTGTTTAACTCCCTCTATCGATGAAAAAGTTAATTTTCTTAATAGCATCATTTTATATCTAATAGACCAATATATCCCTTTAAGAAAACGAACATTAGGTCGATTCCCACTTTTCTAAAATCCCTTAAGAAAAGTGTCAAGAAGCTTTATAATAAATATCAATTAACCAAATTGCCAAATGACCTCTCTGCATATAAAAAAAGCTTAAAAAGTTTCCGTAGCGCCATTCATAATTACTTTTCAAATAAAGAAGAACAACTTTATTGATAGAAATTCTTTCTGGACCTATGTCAAAAAAAAATTTTGCAAATCCAAGCAAACAATTCTGCAACATAATGATAATGTGATCACCTCTGATATTGATATTGCAAATGTATTTAATCAGTATTTTTCTAGTGTGTTTATTGAGGATAAATACTCATACTTCCTGTTTTAACGTAAATCGAATTTGTTGCACTTCTCTCTGCGAGGTTGAAATAATACTACTGGATGTTTATGATGCCTTAAATAGACTTAAGCCGTCCATTTCAGCTGGTCCCGATAACATTCCACAAATAATTTATAAAAAATGCGCAGTTTCATTGAGTCTTCCACTATTTTTAATTTAATTTTTAATTTATAAGGATATTATGAAATCTGGTCTTAATCCCAAAATTTGGAATTTGCCTCATAATTCCCATTCATAAAAAAGGAAGCACCTATGACCCTTCTAACTATACACCTATTAGCCTAACATACGTTGGTGGCAAGGTGCTCGAAAGGTTGATTTGCAATAAATCCTTTACTTGTCTTGATGCCAATAATTTTATATCCCCTTATCAGCATAGCTTTTGTACAAAAAAATCTACTTCTTCACAAATATTGGCAAATCTCTCTGATTGGTCAGCATCAATTGATGAAAAAATAGTATCAGTTGTATACCTAGATTTGGCTAAGACTTTTGATACTGTTTCCCATAGCAAATTATTGGTCACTCTTAATAGTTATGGCATAACAGGGGGCCTCTATAACTGGGTGTCAGATTACATAAAAGATCGTCAACTCTAAATGATTCGATCTTCCTAACCTTTTTATAAATGGTAATTTAATCTCACACATCTCCGATCTTGGAATAATCATGGATGAAAATTTCGATTTTGATCTTCACTGCAGAACCATAGTAAAGAAATCCTCAAGGATACTAAATTTTATTTTTCGTTCGTTTAAGAACAAAACTGAAAGTTTTCTTATCAAAAGCATTCGTTCGGCCTCTTCTTGACCACAATACTACATGTTACTCCCCAGATGTCGTAAATCAAGTAAAATGATTGAAGGACTCCAAAAATATTTTCTATGACGCCTCTCTCCTAATAAAAATTACAATTTTAATTATAAAAGAACACTTCTACAACATAACATGGATTCTCTCGCAGTTCGTAAACAAGATTTAAACAGGATTTAATTTGCACATATAAGATTCTGCATGGTTATGTTAAACTAGATTGCTCGAAATATTATAACTTTAGACTAAATTTGAATCCAACAAGAACTAATGGCTTAAAATTACTAAAACCTACATGCAAAACTAAACTAAGGACTCATGACTTTTTTATTCGTACTATTAACTACTGGAACCGAACGATGTAGCTTGTGCATCCTTAGCTGTTTTTTAAAAAAGACTGGATAATATCATTTACGATATTATTTAAAAAAAAGAAAGAAGAGTTTACACCAGGCAAGAACTGCAGGAAGTGAGAAATCTCGATTTTATCTTCAGGTTATATATGTTACTTCAAATTATACTATATTATATTGATCTGTAATTTCCCCTTTAAATTGTTAATTTTTGTCATATTGTTTTATAATTAATTTTGTTTATGTTATTTTTTTTTCTGTTTTCTTTTTCTTTTATCTTAACTGTTATTATTAATACAAGCACATGGCGTTGTCGCCCTGTTTGGCTGGTTATCAATAAATAAATAAATAAATTTGCTAATTTGAACATCAAAGTCTTCCCGTCTACCACATCCCTCAGTTCTCTCGCTATGGTTTATTATTTTATTGTTTGCTCTCTCGATAATTTCTTCAAACAGAAAGAGAAGGGATTTGAGTCTTCCAGGAAACTCGGATTTTAAGCAAATGAAGTAAATATACTTGTATTATATTAGTTTAAAATGTGTTAAAATATAATTGTATGGTGTTTATTTTAAACAAAAATATTGATCTTCAATAAAGTTATGGTCTCTCAAAGTAAACCATATAAAAGAGAGGAAACTTTTCGGATTACTATGTTTTTGTAGATCTTATATTACCTACTTTCATTCCATCTCTGGAGATTTAATTTAAGATATCAAAATTTATGAAAATTCAAGAATATGAAAATTTCAGTGGTATGATTAACCATTCTTTCTTTATCTTTCGTAGAATATCTTACAAATGCCATTATTAAAACTTCCAATTGTTCTATAAGAGACTAGGGAAGTTTCTCGGCCTGAAAAGAGCAATCTGAAATCCTTTGTTATACCATTCAATAAAATTTAGCTTCATCATTTATTAGACAAGGACAATTCGTCCGACAAAATAATTAAATTAATTAATTAAACTCAAATAAAATCAAATTAGGTCAAATTAGTTCAGGCCGAGTTCATTTTATTGATAATAATTCTGAAAATATGTTTTTAAATAATTAAATTGGATAAATTTAAACTTAAAAATTAGTGCTTGGAAAAAAAATTTTATTGATGAAATACAAACTGAAATTGTCCTTTTTAATTCAAAATATTACTTTTTGTTGGAATTCTCACAGGATGGAATGCATTGGAAGTCGAGAAGATTCAAAACAATCATCTATCAATCAATCAAAAAAATCAAATCTATCGTTTTTCAATTTTTAAAATTCATATATATACCTATAACTTGATTGACCAATATTTCAGCGATATCCTTGATTTAAGGAAAGATTGAAAGCGAATGCTGATGGCCAAGTGGCAAAATGACTATTTGAAAAATTACACTCATGAGAATAAATTATCACCTTAATCGCTAAATCGTTGAATTGATAGAAACTTCTCTATTCATAGAGAAATAATGAGATTTATACTGAATAAGCCGAATTAAGACTTGTGGGGAAAAAAATTGTGCAAAAATTGTGCAATTGTGCAGATATTATTGCAAAAAATAAATCGAATGCTATATAATGAGCGAAGCGGATATGAAAAATATTTCATACTGTTTTGATACAATTAGATTCTTCATTAGCAATCGGTCAAACCAATTGATAGTAGCACGAGATGAAGAAGATTTAACCGAATTACTCAATGAATACAACATTTATAGCTAGAAAGCTTAAAAAATGTGGAAAACGAGTCTTTTCGAGATTGGTCAACCATCTTTGATCAAAAAACCTACCGATGAATATAACTTAAGGATGTATAGCAAAGATATATAGATTTTACGAGAAAATAAATCTCAATGGGCGAAAAATATTAGAGATTTTCATATGAATTTGTCCTTAAAACATTAAATTAATTGGAAAATAAATTTTTTTGCTGAGAAAAATTTTTCTAAAATTTTTTTATTAAGCATTTGGAAAATCTAAAAAAAAATGTCAAGAAATTATATAAATAAATGTGATAATGCATTCGTTATCACATCTTCTTACTTGAAACAACTGTCTCAATAATTATTATTCGCAGTTCAGTAATAATAATTATGGAATGAAAAGAAAGCAATAAATATTAATTAAAATTATATATAAATATTATTTGTTAAAATTTTATAAATTTTCACACCTAATTTATAATTCTGAATTATCATAACTGAGCATTAAAAGATTTAAGTAAGAGAATCTTTTAAAAAAAGGTTGAAATTTATCACGACTTTCAGTCCTCAGATAACTTGCAACTGAATTCATCCTACTTGCTTTCTTTTCATTCCATATGGACTGCGAATAAAAAAATGATTGATTTCAATCACTCCATTTTTGCAAATGAGATAGCGAATGGCTGCAATTTGCATACTTGTTGGAATGGTCAAGTAATAACGGTATCGAGCATCATAGGTTGAATTCCCTATTTTTGACAGAGAGTGGGTCTATGAAGTTGAAGCGATATTCACCACGAGATTCTTTAACGAAAGTCAGAAACCAATAATGGCAAGCTTTATTTTAATGAAAAAAAGAAGCAAGCTTATTACTTACTTGAACCTATGTCTTATTTCAGCCAAATATTTTCTTACATTTTCATTTCAGTTTTATTCATTGAATTGAAGAGTTTAAAGTTTAAAGCTAATTAATTTCCCTAACACCAGTCAGATTTCATTTTTAACGTCACTGGATTTATTAACTCAAAAAAAGGCCCTTAACCCATAATTAACTCGCTTGAACTTATTGTTGAACTAAAATAAATAAACCATTTTAATTTTTATGGTCGTAGTGCTTCTATTACTGTCGACGATGACATCAGAGCGCGCCGCTTGGAAGCGTTTTACCCTTGTAACCGTTGGGGCCAGCCTAACCAG